CGCACTCTGTGCAGCTGGACGAAGCCATTGGCTCGGGGACCTCGTCTGTCCCTGGGCTGGTTTAGGGTTTAGGGTTTAGGGTTTTAGGGTTTAGGGTTTAGGGGGCTCTCTACAGGTTTATGTCAGGGTTCTACAAGGGCTCCTTTATGGGCTCTATAAGGGAGAGCTTGGATGAGGGCGGGTTCAGGGTCTGTGGGGTTTAGGTTCGGGGTTTAGGGATCGAATCTAGAGACCTTTACCCTAAACCCCAAACCCTAAGCCCTAATCCTTATTCCCTAGACCCTAGCCCTAAAGGCCCTAAAGGCCCTAAAGGCCCTAAAGGCCCTAAAGGCCCTAAAGGCCCTAAAGGCCCTAAAGGCCCTAAAGGCCCTAAAGGCCCTAAACCCTGAAAGCCAGAGCACCCTCAAAAGGCAGAACACCTCAAAACCTGCACCGTCTGAAGATGCAGGAGGGCGCCCTCTGCGTGCAGGGGCCCCGGTGCTGCGGAGTGTCGAAAGCATTTGGGGTTTAGGGTTTAGGGCTTAAAGGGCCTTTAAAGTTTAGGGCCTATAGGGCTTGGGGTTTAGGGTTTGGGGCCTATAGGGTTTAGGGTTTAGGGTTTAGGGTTGAGGCAACAGCAAGCGAAACACAAAGACAATTGTGCCCAGGCGGTGTTGTAGTATTTGCAGGACCATTAAACCCGAAGGCATGGAAACACCAAAGACGCGAAGTGGGACTTACATCTTGGAGCCTTAAACCCTCAACCATAACCCAAAACCCTAAAGCCTAATCCCTAAACTCCAAACCCTAAACCCCAAACCCTAAGTCCTAAACCCTCAACCATAGCCCTACAAGACTTAAAGTTCCTCAGCCCAGCCGCTCTGCCCGCTTTTCTTGAGGAATTGCTCCGGGAAATGCCAATGACATCGCCTTGCACCGTGTCTCTGCTTTGGAGTGGCTCGGTATGCAGACGTCCTCCCGGATATGCAAGGTTTCGGGAATTAGGGTTTAAAGCCCTAAGCCCTAAACCCCTAAACCCCTAAACCCCTAAACCCCTAAACTAAACCCCTAAACCCCTAAACCCTAAACCCTAAACCCAAAATCCCTAACCCTAAATCCCTAAACCCTAAACCCTAAACCCTAAACCCTAAGAGCAACGCGGGGTTTCAGGCTTAAGGCCTCACCAGTGTTCTTTCATAGGTGGTATCGGCTGTTTTTTGTACCCCGCACCCTCTGCAATCTGGAGTTTCCAGTGCATGACCCATGAACACGGAGGCTATGATATAGGGCTTAGGGTTTAGGGTTTAGGGCACCAATATGTATTCTTCGGGTTCCTTGTCACCATGATGGCATAATGTACCCCCCCCCCCAGATTTTGTTTATATTTGTTCAATAAGGGGGCTTGCTGCATATCGCGTGAAAGATCTATGGGAACTATAACCTAAGCCCTAAACCCTAAACCCTAAACCCCTAAACCCTAAACCCTAAACCCTAAACCCTAAATCGTAAACTCCTAAATCCTAAACCCTAACCTATCATTACTATGTAGACTCTCTATCGCCGACTTCCACGGAACGTAAGGTGGTGATGGCGGCTCGGATCAGCCTCTTGGCGACATAATCTATAGGAGGACTTTCAGCTCAGAAAACAGTCGGAAAGCTGCTTTGGAATATGTTAATGTTTGTAATTTTTGTGAATGTTTCTTTTACTTTTTCACCTTGGTTGTTTTTACTTTCCAACCCTGCCCAAGTTGCTTTCAACACATGTTGAACGATAGTCGGTTTCAGCCGACATGGGTTTTGTCATTTGTTTTGGGCGCTTGCGATTCTCCGGCCTCGGGTTCTGCTAGCTTTTGAAGTTGTGCGTCGGTGTCTTCCATCGCGCGATAGTTGGGTTTAGGGTTTAGGGTTTAGGGCTTAGGGTTTAGGGAATTATTAGGGTTTAGGGTAATGAATCTGCAGCCGCACGCAGTCGGATGGTGCACTCGGCGTGCCTGAGCTGCTATTGCAGCACCTCGCGGTTTCGGTGGAGTTGGATGTCCTAAACCCTAAACCCTAAACCCTAAACCCTAAACCCTAAACCCTAAACCCTAAACCCTAAACCCTAAACCCTAAACCCTAAACCCATTTCCATTTTCACACTGTGAGGTCTCGGATTGGCACAGCCCCATCTTCGTGAGGCACATATATAAAATGGAAGCCCGAAATCCTAAAACCCTACTCTAGGGGCCTTAATAAGTACCTACACTGTTTTGGGGATTCCTTATCATGATTATTGTACATGATACCCCAAAGCCTTATTCTAATTATGAAGGCGCCTACATTACACCCTAAAAACACTGCAACCTGCATCTCATTCTCCGAATGAAGATGCTAAGCCCGCAGAGCCCTACACCCCTACATACCAAAGCCCAAAACCCCTACAACCCTGAACCCTAAACCCCTAAATGCCAATGCCCAAAACCCCTACAACCCCATTCTTCAAACTCCTAAGTGCGAAAGCGCCCCTAGATCCCCAAACC